AATGAGGACAAACATCAGTCATCTGGAAAAGACATTTTGAGTGAACCTCAATATGCAGAGCTATTTGAAGGGTTAGGATGCTTACTTGGACAGTAATCGATAAAGACTGATCCGTCAATCACACCTACCATTCATCCACCACGCAAGATACCCATCTCATTAAAAGACAAAGTTCATCAAGAATTACAGAGAATGGAACAGTTGGGAGTCATTGAACGACAGACGGAACCAACTCCGTGGGTGAACAGCATGACTGGTGTGAATAAAGGATCCAAAATCCGAATATTTATTGATCCCAGGGATCTCAACAATGCAATACAACGTGAACATTTTCTGTTACGAACTGTTGAGGATGTCATTGAGAATATGTCACAGGCCAAATATTTCACTAAATTAGATGCCGTTAGTGGATTCTGGCAAATCCAGCTAGACGAAGCTAGCTCGAGACTTTGTACATTCAACACACCATTCGGGCGATACCGATTCAAGCGTATGCCATTTGGTATAAAGTCTGCGTCCGAAGTATTCCAGAAAATCATGTCACACATGTTGGAGGACATTACTGGTGCAGAGGTCATCATTGATGATATTTTGGTTTGGGGATCATCGATTGAAGAACATGACCAGAGATTACGCCAAGTTTTACAGCGTGCAAAAGAGTACCACTTAAAGCTCAGTAGGCAGAAATGTGAAGTGCGTAAAACCGAAGTGAAATATGTAGGACAAGTACTCACCCAAAATGGAGTGAAACCTGATCCAGAAAAAGTGAGAGCTATTGTGATGATGCAGAAACCAGAAAATCGACAGGAACTACTTACCTTTTTAGGACTAGTTCAGTACTTTGGAAAGTTTCTTCCAAGACTATCTGATGTAAGTGCATCACTACGCAAATTGACTGAAACTTCGTCAGGCTGTGAATGGAATTGGACAAAGGAACAAGATATCAGTTTTGAGACAATCAAGGCCATGATTACCAAAGCTCCGATCTTAGCATACTACAACCCAGGACTACCGCTAACACTCTCAGTGGATGCAAGTCCAAGTTCAAGAGGACTTGGTGCGACCATCTTACAACAAGGTAGACCCATTGCATATGCGTCAAGAGCACTGACAGCGTCTCAAAGAAATTACGCGCAGATAGAGAAAGAGGCATTAGCAGTTGTCTTCGGATGTCAAAAGTTTCATCAGTACATCTATGGTAGATCAGTAACTGTAGAGTCCGACCATAAACCATTACAGTCTATTTTTCAGAAACCGCTCTTAGCAGCACCTTTGCGTTTACAAAGACTACTTCTAGCCGTTCAGAAATACGACTTAAAGATTGAGTACAAACCTGGCAAACTTATGTTTGTTGCTGATGCTTTGAGTCGACACTATCTTGATGAAACCAGAGAAGAGTTGATACCTGAAGTTGATGTCAACAATATCACGCTCAACAGACACTTACCGATGTCACCTGATCGTTACAAGGAATTTCAACAAGAAACTTCTCAGGATCAAACATTACAACAACTACTCAATACAGTACTGTTAGGATGGCCCAACAGTAAACAGAGCTTACCATCAAACCTTCTTCCATACTGGACATTTCGGGATGAAATATCACACATGGATGGACTACTGTTCAAAGGCAGTAAACTTATCATTCCAAAATCGATGCAGCAGAAAATGTTAGACTTGGTTCATGAATCTCATCTGGGTATCGTGAAGTGCAAGAGTAGAGCACGGGAGTCTATGTATTGGCCGGGCATGGCAGCGCAAATAGAGGATAAAGTATCCCAATGTATAACTTGTGCTGAAGTTCAGAATTGCAATCCAAAGGAACCAATGATATGCACAGAGTTACCAGATCGTCCATTGTCCAAGATAGCATCTGACATTTTCGTATACAAGCAGAACCATTACCTACTCACTGTAGATTACTACTCGAAATGGCCAGAGATAATCATCTTAAAAGACCTTTCATCACTACAAGTCATCAACTCGCTTAAAAGCATGTATTCCAAGTACGGTATTCCTGATGAGTTAGTATCAGACAATGGTCCTCAGTATGCGAGCAAGGAGTTCAAAGATTTTACCAAAGAGTATGGATTTATACACACAACATCTAGTCCATTGTATCCTAAATCTAATGGACAGGCGGAGAGAATGGTGCAGACAGTCAAGCGGCTTCTCAAGAAAAACACAGACCCTTACAAAGCGTTGATGGATTATCGCAACACAGAAATCCAAGGACTAGGGCAGTCACCCTCACAGATGTTTCTAGGACGTCGTCTGAAAACAAACTTACCTATTGCAGCAGATCTACTTCGTCCTTAGGACAACAACATGCAGATGAAACTACAAGCCAGACAGTTGCAGTACAAGAAATTTTATGATCGCACAGGAACTAAGAGTCTTCCGAATTTGGACACAGGAGATAACGTTATGCTACAAGATGGCAAAACATGGAGACACGCGACCGTGGAATCCAAACTACCACTACCAAAATCCTTTATCGTATCGTGTGATGGGAAAAAGTACCGTCGAAACCGCTGTATGCTGAAAAAGACAAATTCTGTAAAACCCACACAGGAATTCAGTGAGGATTTCGATTTCCAGATTCCAGAGAGTAGTGCTGAAGAACATGTTCCGCTAAAGCCGTCTTCAGAGTCTCGCGAGTGCGCAAAACAAACTCCTGATGAAACCGTCAAAACCAGATCAGGACGTACTGTGAAAGTTCCATCCAAATTTGCAGACTATGTTATGCAACCAGTTTAAATGTAGTTTCATGTAAAATATCATGCATGTACATGTATATAAGTTTAATACCATTCAAAAGATTTTGTAAACTTTAAAGTTCAGTTCAGTCTTTACATGATTTCAATTTCAATACTCATTGACTGTTTAATGATTGCTTTGAAACTGATTAATATTTAATTGATGTGATTATTGATTTAAAAAAGGGAGGATGTCATGTATCTATAATTTACTAATTGACATTTTATATTCCGGATTTCTATGTTCTGATTTATGATCATGTTTGGTTCTAAAAATAAAAATATAGTTTTTCCGGTTTGCAAATGGCTGCTTACATGTGAACACGACAATACACAACAAGATTGCCACTTTTCCTAAGGATTAAGGTAGCTAAGGACACCTGACCCCAAAAAAACCTGTCAATAGATTTTGTTGAAATTTTCACAAGGTGTAAAGGGATGTGTAATGAACACTTAGTCGAAATATGAACATGGCATTGTGGGTAAATTACGGAACCAGGGGGTAATGAGTTACCTCCCCTTTCCAGTCACTCCAAAAATTATAATACAAGATAATTATTACCCATAAAAAATTTATTGTGCAATATGCATTCAATATTTAAAATTATTTTTAAACAATATTGATACTATTAACTTATTTTAACAATGGATTGTCTGAACATATATAAATTAAGAGAATAATCCATGTAGAACATTCGAAATTCGACTAATTTGGCCATTTTCATGCACACAAAATTGACACTTTTTAAATTCTAAAAAAAAATCTGTCCAATAGAATTTTTATTTTTTATCATTATATGAAAGATCTAAGGTCTAATACTATTCTTCACTCAAAAAATCTTGGTCTCATTGAGGGCTAATAAAGGTACCAGATGGTCCACAACTACCCCCCCCCCCCCCCTCTTTTGGTTTCCCGTCGTAAAGGTAAGAATAATGATTAAAGTGGAAATTCAAAAAAATGCATAGCAAATTAGGGAAAAAAAACTGAAGAAATAAATCAGAAGTAAAAATCAATTGCTAATAAATGACTAAAGAAAATATTTTTATGAAATAATAGTACATGTAGAGTAATAACTTGAAGAGTTACCTCCCCTCTCCCCTCACAATAAAACATGTAATTAAATCAATATTGAAATTATCCATATAAAGTTCCTCAACAAAATTAAAATATGAATTTATATTTCAACAATAGATACTTGAACAAAAATGTAATTAAAAAAACACATTTAAAAATTCTTCAACATGATCCCTTTTGATTACTTTCATGCAAACAAATTCTATGTTTTCTTATAGATTTCTAAAAAATATATTGTATGACAAAAATGTCCAATACTATTTCTCACTCAGAAATCTCGGCTGCATTAATAGGTAATCAACTATTAAGTTACAGAATGGTCTAATACACCCCCCTCCTTTTATGCATCTGATATTGTTTTCATTGCAATGTCAAAAATCCCCCTAATTATTAACATGTCAAATGCATTCTACTTTGTCCGAAAATACATTTTTGGTCATACAGAATAAAGAAATCCATCTGACATAGCACTGCAAAATTCACAAATTTCTATTTCATAGAATAATAAGAATATCATTGAAAAAATATGATCAGTACTCTTTCAAACTGATCAAAAGTCATTTTATTCCATGAGCAGGTAGGATAATAACATTTAATAGGCCATTCCAAGTCTTTTTTCTGTCTGGCATCCAATCGCACCTTAGTTTTTGACACCTACATGTATCAGACAATCAAACAAAATCAGAACCCCTACACTTACACTTGATTATTTTTGTTGAAATCTTTGAGTTCTGTCAATTTCTCAAATATGTACAATAAATACCGTATGTCATAGGTGGTGTACTTTAGGCATTTATTATTTTGATTTTGCCAAAGAATAGATATTTCTACCAGAAAAGCAGATTGATAAAAAATAAAATCCTCAGATTTACACTATTATTACAACTATAGACATGATACACGTACATTCTGTGTTTTATTTTTTGGTTCATATTTTCTTTTACAAATAGGTACATGTAGGTAGGTTTTTGATTGAAGGTTGGACGCTAAACAGAGAAAAAAAATTAAAATGGGCTTAGTCTAAAACCGTCCTTGACCTGAGACATAAAATTACATAAACTATACTTAAAAATTAAAAACAAAATGACAATGCTGCAAATGGACATAACACTTGATGCAGGACATTTTATATAAAAAGTAAAAAAAAAAAAGATTCTACATGCATGAATATCTGGAGCAGCTTATTAAAAAGCCTGAAAAACACTCACAGTGTAGATTATGCATAATAGAGAATATCTGTTGATTGGCCTATTACTGAACCCGACATCACAAGTCGACATTAAATTATGCATACATTTTTTTTTAAAAAAGAATAATCTACACTCTACAGCAGTGTAATACTGCAGCTGACATATACAATACATAACATAGTACATTAAACATGAAAGGCTGCATGTGGAGTGATCTATTACCACACCAGACATAAAACAGGGTAGATTAGATATGAAAAATGGAAGAAAAAAAAATCTATATATGTGGAGTGATTAGTTTCCACTTTGAATGTAACACTCAATCAAGAGATACATGTACCCGGTAATATAAAGCTGACAAAGAAAAGTAGTCTATTGACTATACATGTATTATTTATTTTCAACAAGCGATTCTTGTCCTGCTCTTTTTTGGAAGGGATGGAAAATCATTCTTCCGTCGAGCTGCAGTAGTTGAATCATCATCAGCATGAATGGTCTGGACTTCACATTCATATACCTTGTACTCTGTACTGATGAATCTATCTGTAATTTATAAAATTTAACAAATACAATATTATCTGCGGTCAACATCAAAATATATTTCCCACGATGTCTATATCTTATGTATAGAATTTCGGTGAAAAAACATGTATATGTAACAGGAAAAGAGAAAATGTATGGATGGCCCGGGAATCAGACCTGAGACCCCTGCATCACTAGTCATGTGCTATATCGACTGAGCTACCCTGGACAATATATATCCATGGCCCAAACCATTACATATCACATACATGTATATATAACTTGCAAAAGTTTACACCTCATACATGTAAATTGCCAATTTTCTACACTTATTAAATTTGGCATAGCAAAATTTAAATGATGACTTAACCATTATCACTATTATGCTGACATCAAGATCCCCTGGTCTGCTATGGTGGTTCTATACCAGAAAGTACCATCTTGATGGCTGAAAAAAATAGATCAAATAAATATACATGTATACCAGCAAAACCTAAATTTAATTATATTAGTTGATTGGCAAATCACTTTTTAACCAGTAAATCTAACATTAAATTAAAATGCCCCACTGCCTGGCCAATATTCTAGCTATACAGCAGCAGTAATATAAAGATTTGTCAATTTCATCAGACCAGCAAACAACATGTAAACAGTTTCAATGTTTACCACACTGACACAGTTTTTACCAGTGAAGAAAAACAAAAATAATCTGTCCAGGGTTCGACACTAAGGGTAGTCCGCTGGCCCGCGACAACTGAATATTGAGTTTGGACTACTAAACATGCCTTTAAACTTGCCCTGCAGGGCTACTGTAAATTTTACCAAACTGAAACACTCACTCAGAGCAACAAAAATAATTATACTTTACACAAAATTTACCTGATTATTGATAAATTAATTTAATTTTCAAACATGTTTTATCCTCAAAATTATTTTTGTAAGTCAAAATGTAAATACTTTAAAGGTGAATCGAAATACCCTAAAAGATTATAAATGTGGAATTTTTTGAATAGAAAAATATCTTAGGCACAATCTGACAAAAATTAGGCCCCCAGTGATCTTGGAAATAAAAATAAATTATCTGTCCTTCACTGTAAATACATAATCTGACACCCATAAAATTTGCCCCCCCCCCTTCCCATCAAATGAATGACAGTCCCTTATTACATTCTCTGAATTTACTAATACTAGGGTGAAGTTTAATGCTGAATTAAAATAGGCCTATTAATATTATTATGAAAGTATGTCATGTAAATATCTATAAATATGACTTACCAAGAGCTACTTTTGAGTTGATATCAACAGTGATCATAAGCCTCTCCATCGTATTCCTTTCGGGGCCGGGATTTCCCGTGGAAAGTGTCGATAAATCCATAAATAGTACAGTACTATCAGACCCATTTACATATAGGCCTAATGTATTGATACAATAAAGTACCGAGTCACAATCGCTTTCAAAGTTTTTGGAAAAGATACAAACGATTGCCTTTATCGCTGTGACTGAGAGCATATAAACTGATTTGTCAAGTTCCTCATCTCAACAAATCTTCGTCCCTCTTTCGATTTCATCCATGTCATATCATGATTGAGATTCAAACCAGCTGCGTCGTCTGCTTTGGAATAGGGGGTGCTAGTTGGTCGTTTGCGATACACAGACATTTTAGTTCATAAAAAGGTTTTATTGTTTTCTGTTTCTTAAGATGTTATATTCTCTCATTCGCTCTAATTTACTTGATCTACCTGTACAGCTGAGCGTTCCTATAACGTTTCCCGTGTACTTTTCTCGGAGCACGTTGTTTACAACTTGCAGTCCGCCATATTGAACTATGCGAATTTCCGGAATAAGCCAACCGAAAAATTCTTAATTTAGAATTCACATGCAATGTCACGTGATCGCTATCCGTAGCTACGTTAAGAATAAAGTTAAAATTCGTGGTAGTGAAAGGATGTGTCAATTAAACCCACCAAAAAATTAAAATTTTGAATAACTTTTGAATGAAAAGAGATTTTTAATTAATTTTTGTGTGAAATGCAATTAAAATATATAATTCGTGATATTATACAGAAAAAATTAACTTCAAATCTGTGTCCAAGTACCTTTAAGGTCGAAATTCACAATTAAATGATATTGTGGTAACTAGCGAATAAAATTGCAAACCATTCACAATCGAGGTACTAACTTTAACTTAAATTCAACAGACGCAAGGCACATGAATTGAAAACTGGACATTTCCTGCATTCTATGCCAAAGCTAACAAAACACTGACAGCAGATCAAAAGCAACTGGTGTACAAACGAGACGTCCCCCATCCGTCTGGTAGAGATGTACTTTGTACTGCATATAGGATTGTCATACACAGATAAAGAGGTAAAACCTAGCTTTGAAAGATGGGTGTATCACTTTTAACACTTTCGATTACGCCAGTATTCCCCACAATGTCACTTATCCGCTACCATTGTTTGCTACCAGCCACGCCTGTTGTTTTATTTCATTTGCAAACGACCCGGGCTTTAACTAATTTATTATAAACTAGTGAGAGAAACTTTTTTTTTTGCATTAACAAATCCGTATTCCATATGGTTCAATGTGCTGCATTAAAGGTATCCCAGGTCTTCAATCAGCTTAAAGGCCGTCCACTTGTAACGCCGATGGTAATCGTATCTACAAGCAATTACACAAGGAACAACAATGCGGGTATCCTCCAGCACATCATGAAACGAAACAGTGAGGATGTATTTCAACGAGTCGAGGAGGAAGACGTGCTCATTGTTGACAGAGGTTTCAAAGACTCGGTTTCATACCTGGAAGAACATGGTATTCAAGATTTTATGCAATGCAGCCTTTATGAAGGAGGGATAATGTAGTTGCCTTCACAAGATGCAAACACAAAGTCATCTTTTAATCAAGGTATTTTGAGATTGATGTCAATGAAATATTAACCAATTTAGAGTCACACTTTAAGTGTTTATAAATTTTATGTGTTTATAAGTTTCTTGCGCCATCTTAGAAACGATGGCTGGTCAAGTCGGCTAATGCTCGGACCAAAAGATGGAAACTGCTTGATTGTTATCTTCCAACAATCCAAATACTTCTTAATGGCGACTAATCCGAGATTCCTCTGACTCTAACCCCCGCTTTTATATTATGACTTGTGCGGGGGAGAGTCACAGCGGAGGCCATGTTGAAAAGTGGAAATTCAGCGACACCAGCCAACGTCTCAACTCTGCCTACCTTTTTAAACTTTATTTCGCGGAGCTAACTCCAGAGATGCGAGAAATCAGAAAATAATTATTCTCCTACTTGTTAATCGTCATTATTAAAAGGATGCTTTCGCCGTTCAAACGGCCCTATCACCGACAAATGAAGCATCACTTAAATTAGGTCGCCTCCTCGCCATTCGACTGCTTTGCGATGCCAGTTCTTTCAGGAGATTCCCATTTCAGTTAATGGATGATTTACCTACTCCTGTCGACTCCAGCTCTGTTCTGAGCTTAGACGCAAACTGAAGGAGGAGTAGGGTTTTAGATGAATTTCATAGAAAATGTTATTTTTAGTAACCATTGCAATTTCTTTCATCGAAATCAAAAACTGATTCTTAATAATGTATCTAAGTGTTGTTCAATTGTTTGACTAGATATAATTGTAATTTGTCTAAAACTTTAGGAAGGATTTAGAGATAATGAACAGTTAACAATATCAAAGTCCATAAAGCAGTACAAAATAGGAACAGACCAAACACGGACCTCCGAAACATCAGAGGTGGGATCAGGTGCCATGGAGGAGTAGCATTTTCAAGAATTGTTTACAGACAAACAGACAGACACATTACTATTCGCCTAAGCTCAGAACATAGCTAGAGTCGACAGAAGTAGGTACATCATCCATTAACTGAAAAAAAGAATCAGAGGAATCTCCTGAAAGATCTAAACCAGTGAAAATGAAAGGAATCGAAAGATTGCGCCATTAACATTGTTGGAGAACAAAAGGAGAGATTAGAGCATATTTTCAAAAGGAAAAGGTTCTCTGTAAATCCTGTTTGGATTGTAAATCTTTGAGGTTTGTGGCCTTTGATGCCCCCGTATTTGTCATACATTTTAACATCCCATCAAGAGTGTGATTGGCAGCTCTAAATTCTTCGTCTCTTATAACATCAATCAACCTATCCTTCACAAATCTTTCAGGTGCATGTTTACCGCAGATCAAAGGCTTTTTAAGAAATTTTTGTGGTTAGTTTCTGCTTGTATTTCAGTTAGATATACGGACTTATTTTTAGTTTCCTTGTGCTTTGCCTAGCAGGTCTGCACGCCATTCTTTTTTCACTTGTAAATTAGTTTTAGAACGTTTGACGGTCATCCCCGCTTGTAGCACGATGGGTGAAGAATTAAGGCCTTTGGTAATTGGTAAATCTTCTACACGTAGGTGTTTCAAAATATTAGATTTGAAAAATAAACATCCTGTCACTGGGCGTAACAACATAAAATCATTGATGTCCTCTGAAATTTTTTGCGAATGGATAGCTAATATTAATGACAAAATAAGAAAAAAATTGATAATGCATCTGCATAGGCATACTAAACTCACGTCATGTTAAACTAGAATTTTTCCCGGCAAAAACAACTTCTAAATTTCTCGAGGTCTTGGAATGAAACAAAATTGTCACCTATTCAGTCTTGTTTCATTACAGTGGGATTCCCCCAACAGCACTCCGATCAAAGGTCTGAGGAATCAGACAGCGGCATTCCTTTAGAACAACTGATCAAAATGCACGTGACCCTTGGTGTAGCAGAAAATTCTCTTAAAGAGTTAGAAAGTACTGAGAATGACATCCCCATTGATCAAAACTATGACGGGGAATGGTAGGGACAGATTTGAGTCGAACGTATGTTAAAATCAAAACTGTCGATACAGGATGTTTTAATGAAAGAATATTCACCTCAAAGCAAGACCCTCTGATCATAAACGGTGAAATTTAGTGGCCGTATTAGAGGATATAATTTGCATTAATTAAGAACTTTTAATTGAGACGAGTTCACAGAATAGAAAAGACCTGGATTGGACAACATTTATTAAGGATTTAAATGTATAACAAAGCACTTCCGATAAAAGTTCCGATTTTAACCGATGTGGCGTCGATCTCGGTAATTCTCGGAATAGCTCTGGTTTTCTGCCCTTGATTCCAGTCTTTGTTGCTAGGAAATCGGAAGTCATAAATTATCGTTACTTGACAAGAGTTATGGTCCGTAGTAATGGCTGCGCTCAGAGAAAAGCTTGGCCGATTTAAAGGGAATCGGATTTCCAAAGCTTCAAGAGGTATTCGCTCTGTAATCTTGGATCATAATTACGAATCCGGTCACTCCTGTTAAAACAATCCATGCAAAGACCCAAATTGCCCTCTTTTTAACAACATAAAACTAGGTAAATACGCAAAGAGAGAAAGTTTGAGGGAAGGTCGAAGGATTGTTGAACTTGGGAGTTCTTTTAGAGAATTTAAAGAGTTGTCAATACTGTAAACTGGGGCCAGTGCCACTAACATATCTAAACGTTGTTGGAGAGTTGAGGAAAGGATTAGGTGGCTTTCTGTACGTGAAGTGTTTGAATGGTGAATGTGGAGGGGTGAACTTGGTTCCATATGGAAAAACTCATAGACTTAAGAAAACAGGAATGCCCTGTTTTGCCATCAACACTTAACTGGGTACAGGTATGTAAATGGTGTTTTTTTTTAAATAATATCATTAATAATTATTTTCATAAAATAAAAATTTAATTTGAAATAGCTAAAACAAAGCTATATTATATAGCTAAATAAAGCTATATAGGTAGATTTAGCTATATAGCTAATTATAGCAATTTTCATACACCTGATAAACTATTGAATGTATGATAGATTCTATCGGTGGACCTGTTCGTGTGAACAATTTTTACTCAAGCCCTAGAGGGGCTTGAGTTATCTAAAACGATGCTAGGTCATCGAATTACTCAGTTTAAAATACAAAAGTATATTATTTTTATGGATAAAATTATTTCTAGAAACAAAAATGAAGCTTATCTTGAAAACGTCTGTATATTCAAAGATATTAAGTGTTAAATAGCGGATTATTTTCTATGGCGAATGAACAATGAGTGAAGCGTCGCAGCCGTAACAGTTTCTATACAGAGATTTCACGCTTTCCTTTGCGTATGAATCTCAGGTAACTTTTTGCAGTCGCCGACAAAGCATCCTTGAACGAGTCCACTGCAGACTCTGAAAGGTGACGCAGGTTACCCCATCGTTAACATTAAATTCTACAATGCATGGCCAGAAAATGTATGGCTGAACCCCCCAACTAAAATTGCCTTTCACGGGCCTGCAAATGATGTGTACTTTGAGAGACAGTAAAATAAAAGCACAAAATCAGTGTTAAATTCTCGTATTAAGCTTTGGTACCGGAACTTATATAACTTCTTTTGGTTCGTACGGAATATGCACTGGACATGTCGCTCAAATAGATGAACCCCATCGTCTCAAGCCATGGTCCGGAGTAGGAGAGGATCGTACATTTTGTCCGTGGTTTGCAACGATGGATGAACCCGTAGTCACGTGGATTTTTTTGGAGCCCGGAATCCCCCCCCCCACCTTTTAGCAAGCTATCTTAATTGATGTATATATTGAATGAGATGTACGTCATTAAGCAAAAAATACAAAAAAGTATATAGTTTGAAGTACATGTATACTAAATACCTACATAAAAAAATATTTCATTAAGAAACGGCAACGTTACTATGCTCTATAAAATATTCCTGAAAGTGTGTCACGTAAATTCATCTTAAAAAGTAGTACAATTAATGTTTTTTTCTGATAAAATTCAATATATGAATGTTGTTTCATGTATACATGTAGTTTATTCAACAGAGG